ACACACCTTTTCCATTGTACTCTGACAGGCTTACGTATGCGCCCATATCTGCTATTTGTCGGACATTTACCACCACTGTTTCCTCCACATCCGGGAAATGGTTTTCATAGAACCGACAACGCATCATGGCCATCTTGGCTAAACATTGATGGTTTAGACGGTACGGGACACAAACAATGGTTTAGACGAAGTATTCTTGAAACTTCAGGAATCGAAAGAATACTTGCATGATACCCAGTCTAGCAAAGAATAAGAATAGTAGTAACTCAATTTGCTGTACATGAGACCACAACAAAGGAATTCTAACGTTTGGAGATTTTGCTGTGTCAAAGGCTACGAACATTAGTAGCAAATCAAAGTCCCAAAAGTCCCCAGTGGATGGTAGAGCTATTCAGGTAAAACCCATCAATTACACCTCACTAAACCAGAGATTTAAGCAAATGGCTGATGTTATACCAGTGAACAAACAGATAGCATTCCCAAAATCACATATACTTTAGCGTTCACATGATAGATTACACCGCACAAAAAGTCGACAACTACTGATCATGACCAAGCAGTAGTTACAATGGTTAAAAGCAGTTTCCACTTAACTATAGTTATCATAAGAGAGGTAAATGGGACTAATACCGTTGAAAGTGGGAAGCGAATGGAACATTTTGAAATAGATTTTATTCTAGAAGATGTATAAAAATAGAAATGCTAACAATAAAATAAGATGTATCCTAACTATGCCTAAATTTCTCTCCTTTAACAAAACATACAAGTGAGATACAATGAACGAACAACAACTTTATATGAAGCAGTATGAACATAATCAACTTGAAAAGAGCGTGTCATCAAAACCAGAAAAAAAAAACTCGAGAACTATTTAGCATGCTAGAAAATGTGTTTACTAACTGTAAAATGTGAAATCAATGTGGTAAGTTGAGCAAGACGTTCTGATTCCCCGGAAGGTAGGTGACATTTCTGGCCTTTGACATGCGATCAGCGATTTCTTCAGCTGCTTCGATCTTTCGCAATTCAATCAATCCATCTCCAGCATCGGCAAATGCCTGAAATAACCATAATCAAATGATCCAGCCAAAAATAGCTTTTAGAATAAATGCCAGAAAAAGGGCATTTACGAACCTTGCTAAGTAGTTTTGCAGCCTGTGCATCTCCTTCAGCTGTAGTAATGGCAGCAATTTTCATCTGCTCAGCTTTTTCTACAAGGTACCGAGCCTTTTCTGCATCTTGTTGAGCAACCTGCTTCATTTCAACGGCTTCTGTGAACTCGCGTCCGAAAGACAAGTGGGTCTAAAGGATAGCTGGGTAAGTTCGCGCGTATGAAGAAAATGTCGATTATGCCATCATTCTGTCAGTAACCCACGATGGAGATATCGTCCAAGAGAAGTCCAAATTGGGCTGCTCGCTGAGACAAGGCCAATGATACACGTTGCGATACAGTTTCTCTTTGAGTGATCATTTCATGTGCATCAAACTGAGCCTAAAAGAGAAAATTATGAAAATGACTCGTCGCAACGATGTAATTTAAAATCTGTATCGTACAGGGAAACTAACCACTACAGCCTTTAGCACCTCATTTGTGATGGATGGCAAGACTCTGTCAGCATAATCCAAACCGATATTCAAATAGATGTTGGGCAGCTTGGTTGGATCTGGTCGGTGAAGAATACGAAGAGTAATGGAAACATTCTGTAGATCTGAAGTTCAAAAGTTGTCTTACGGATATACACTTTGAAACGGGGATGATTTCTCATTTTATAGAAAGATTTGAACCAACCTTTACTTCCAGTGATTGTAGAAATTGCTCTTGGTGTTGATCGAATATCAAATAGTAT